GGGTGACACCAATCCTCACGTCTTCCGGGAAACTCATACTCAATATCCACAAAAAATTAACGTTTGGGCTGTGATATTGGGAAACCATATTGTGGGACCTCTATTCATCGAACAAACTCTAACCAGGGAACTGTATTTGGATATGCTGGAAAATACCATTGACCCTCTAATTACCGAAATCGTCGAAGCGAATCCTAATGAATTCGATACTGATATTGTATCCCAGGAAGGTAGTGCTCGACCATACTACTACAGACAAGTTAGGAATTATTTAGATAACAATTTCCCCGGTCGTCGGATTGGCCGTCGAGGTCCTGTGGAATGGCCAGCTCGCTCGCCAGATTAGACACCCTTAGACTTTTATTTATGAGCCTATTTGAAGCAAAAGGTGTACGAAACTGAACCTGCTTCAATATTGGATATACGGCTGAGGATAACAAATATTTGTAGAAATATCGATGTTACTATGTTTGAAAATGTTCGACACGAAATTATGGACCGGCTGTTATTGTGTCAAGAAGTTTAAGGCAACCGTTTCCAGCATCTTTTAAACTGAACTCAACGTATTTATTCGAATTACCAAGTTAAATGTCAATGTATTCAGCTAATTATTAAATGTTTCACCATTTTGTAGTAGGAAACGCATTGACTTTATATTCTAGCGTTATAAAGTACTCGTCAGGAGCTTCAAAATGATGTGCCACAAGACCCCCGTTTTCATAGAATTGTTTTTCCAGCGGCCATCTTGACATTTTCATTTTTCAATTTTACTCTAAAATATGGTATCCACGCATCAATTTCATTACCTCAAGTTTTAATTTGTTGAATTGATCTGTTCAGGAAATCAAAGGGTAGGAGGACATTAAAGAAAAGTATTGTATATTGTACTAAATAATGTTACCTCACGAAGTCAAGTAACCTCATTAAATTACACTACATGCTCGTAACTATAAATGATACGCGCCTACGTATGTGTATATCGCGTCTACTACCTGCTTTTAAAAGTCCCTTGGATCCACCAATAAGGACATTTACAACCCCGTGGTGCACGGCAAGTGCGACCGATAGGTATGCGATCCACCTAGTTTTAGGAGTAAATGTACGGGGAAGTCTATGATGTATGAAATATGTCTAATAGGTGCGTAGAACTATCGGGGTTGAAGGAAATAAGAGACAGCGTGTTTCGTGATGTACATGTTATATAACGTCCACTCATTTCCGAGGCATGTAGAAGTATGCTTTTACTTCTACATGCCTTGCATCAAATTGTTCATGCTTTCGGTTTTTATCATCTGTTTTATCAGCCTGAAATTTACCAAAACGAAAATTGAACTAGGAGAGCACTGACGCTGACGCGGAACAGTAGAAATCTATAAATGCCTTTCTGACTGAGAGAAAAGGCTATCAAAATCTTGTCTCTTTTTCAGAAATTTCTAGCTTTTACCTGTTACGTGTCAGCGTCAGCGCTCTCCTATTGTGAACATATGCTTTATTTTTGAATCGTAGAGAATTTTAGACTGATAAAACAGATGTTATAAATCAAAAGCATGAACAATTTGATGCAAATAATTATTTGTCACATAACCTCCAAATAGAGCGCTGACACGGAAAAGTAGAAAACTATGACAATCAAGGGGGCCATAAAGGCGTCCTACAATAATTGTAGGAGCGACTGACGATACGGCCCTCACACATTTCATATCTTCATTTAGTACATATTAAACGAAGTACAGTCAAAAAGGCAAATACCTTTGTTGTTGTAACTTCTATGTGGAATTCTCACTTATATTATGCATATTACATTATTTTGAAATATAGATAATATTTCCACGGTCTTACCTGTGAGTTGATCAAATATTTACACTCTCCTTATCGCCGTATGTCATCGTCAAATAACGGTCCTATCGCGTGTAAAATATTTGACTCCGTTATCTATGTATATGTAATTAAAACATGACTAACGCTATCGAAGCCTAGCCGAATTTTAATTCCATGCTGCGTTCTATTTTCTGGAGCAATGGTGATTAGGTACGTAAACACATGGCACATGATAGGGTGGATCACATTGGATTTCACCTACATGATCAACACCAATCAGTTTGTAGAGAACGTCACCTAGCTATAAAAAACTTTATGATAATAGAACCACGTATATAGGTTGTTTCGAAAGTGAGGAATAGTATTAAAAGCTCTGAGATTTGAACGCATCTACATAAGAAAATTGTTAGAGCTTTATAAAAAAAGTAATTATTTATAATGTCTCTTCAAGTATCTTAGGCCCGTATCGTCAGTCGTCCCTACAATTGTAGGGCGCCTTTATGGCCTCCTTGATTGTCATAGTTTTCTGCTTCTCCGTGTCAGAACTCTATTTTGAGGTTATGTCACAAACATCTATTTCCAGCAAATTGTGCGTGCTTTTGAGTTATATCATGTTTTATCAGCCTAAAATTTCCTACAAGTTAAAAAGAAAACATATCTTCACAATAGGAGAGCGCTGACGCTGACACGGGACATGTGTAATCTAGAAATTTTTGAAGGAGAGAAAGGAGGATGACAATCAAGGAGGCCATAAACGCGCCCTACAATTGTAGGGACGACTGACGATACGGGCCTTACCCTGCTTTTAAATCAACCGGAATATTAAACAGCTCCAACTATGGTTAGTGTGGGCGGCATAGCAGTATCCTGGTTGGGCGTTAGCCCCGCGATATGTGTCTTGTAAGTTGCGGGATTTCCAGCAAAGTTAAGTCCATTTGAAAACCACAGAACGCAAAACCTTGTGCTGCTACTTTCGTCACTACTTAATAGCCTGTTGAAGATTGGCTCATTTCTGAGGATATTTATTCCTATTATAAATGATTAAATGGCGCCTTTTTACATGAAACAAACTAAGCAGATCCCAAATGTGGTACGTAATTGTTTGGTAACCCCACTGCAGTCTACTTTAACAGTCACTTCAAACATTCCCATTACCTGTTTTTAATTTCCTAGTGTTATGAAAGTAGGGAGGTAAGTAGTCGCAAAGTACTTTGTACCTTCTGTGGCTTGTCTCCTTTCGGTCATTTCTTGAGCGCAGAAGAATGAAATTCTCCCTGGGGAATTATGCCGAAATCTGACAGCGACTAACAAGTCCGTAAATGCGTCCATTTTCCGCAAAACAATATGTTCCTAGGTCCTTCATATCATTGAATGTTCCGTCACAAAGTGAATTTTGTCTTTAGAGATGAGACTCATTAAAATCAGCAAGACCTCCGCACTTTCCTCTTGAGAATGATTCGGGAGCGGCTATTTTATCAGTGTTCACGAACACAGTGATCTGAAAACGAGGAAGAACTTCGTCCACCTTTTTTCAGTTATATTACTTCCTCATTCCAAGAACTAACCCGAATCTCCACCGCAGAGATCAATCTAAATCTCTCAATGCCTGGGTGCAAAGCTGTAGATCAAATTTACTTTGCAGGAATAAACACAAAAACAAAATAAAGTTGCCCTTATTACTGTAGATTATCCCTTTTGGCACGTTTTCAACAAATGTCTTGTCCCTTTACAATTTGCCCCACAATAGTATCTATAACTTCCGCCAGATTAACTGGATTAGTATCAAGTCTTTCAGAAAACATGCTACTGACTTTCTTAAACCTCTATTGCATTTTTGAATGAGGTGTTCAATATTACGTGAGCCACCTCGTCGGAGAATTTTTGTCAGACTACTCCTTTTGGTGAAAAATTGGCTTGAACGTTTGAAGTAAAATCCGTATAAAAGACCTGTACCTGTACCTGAAACACGCTGAAAATAGAGAAGTTTGACATTAAAAACTGTTTGTTGCGTACAAGGGAAGTAATAATATTTCACCATAGTGTTATTTGAACAATACTGTTTGTCCCTGTTCAGTCTCATCAGAGCTGTAGAAATTGCAATATATTGGATCTGGTGAAGGGACATTCTAGGACCTATTCTTATAGGAACTTCTTTGTGATTTTATTACCTATCGTTGAATCACTAAAGTCATTTAAGAGAAATGAAAAATAAAGGAGAAATGAACTTGAACACCCTGTACATATATCCGTAACGAAGCCGCAAGATACGTGAGTTCATGTGATTTTTTTTGGTCAGTTTGATGAGGTCTATAAGCTGAATAGCCGCATACACATTAGAAGAAATTTTAAAATAATAATTAAATTGAAAATCATATGTGGTCAAAATTAATGGGTGAAGTTTTTAGTCTGCAGTATTTTAAAGGCATTCCACTAAAATCAGAAAAATCGATCCAGTGGTACTGGATTCAGAGGTTTAAATCTAAGATCACTCCACTACGACGCCACTGCGAAACAAGCAGGAGAGGGTCCGGACTCCCAAACGGCGGCGGCGGTGGCGATGCTGGCGCGACGGTCGACCCAACCTGTTGATTTTCAATCGACATTGAGCGGAGAATGAACCTTCCTCGCCATGTAGGCGCTGTAGCTGTAGCTACGCTGCAACATCGGCATAGCTGTCGCGAAAACACTTTTGACAATCCCGAAGCATTTTTTGTTCGTACCATCAAAACCAATAGACAATAGCAGTTCTGCGGTCTTTTTGCACTCAGTTTACTTGTTTATATCTACACATTAAGTTTCAATACCTCTTACCCATCCTGCCTATTTATTTTGAGACTTCGTGTTTGGGTATATATGCTACTTTAGGACTCTGTCGATGTGTTAAGTCAAAATAGCATCACCAGAACTAATCGGACCAATTCACAGTGCGATCCACAAATCATCGTGGAACTTTGAGGAAAAGTGACATGTCACGTGCCGTAAATGAGTAATTAATAATTACACTGATTTTATAACTAATTATAAACATAAATTAGGTGATGTGCAATCCTAAAACGGAAAATTGCGGTAGCGAAGGAATAATTCGTATTTTTCGTTAACCCTCCATCGCTCGCGCCTCATTCTATTACACCATCGCTCGCGTGCTAGATTTTATCTAACATTCAGGTGTTCAATAAAAAAGCTATTTTTACTTGAATTAAATGTTTATATTGTCAAGTATACTATTAAGCTATACATTAGTGAAAAATTATTGTTATAAACTATAACAAAAATACTAACAAAACACTGAAAATTCTTCATCTAAAATTTCTGAACTGAAGGTTTCTTCTTCTGATGTTTCATTCTGGAATCCTCTAGAGGTGAAGGAAACCCTAAAAAAATAAATCCAGGGTATATATTGAAAGCGTTTACATGAATGCTTTACAAAACACTTACGCACTTTAGACATTCTCGTTACGTCCATAGCATTCACGACAGGTCAATGAAGTTATTGCTGTATGTTCCTTGCATATCGGTGATCTACAGCTTGAACAATTTCTCTGAGTGAACCTGTTTTTTCTCAATGGACAGAATTCACATTTCACTTTGACTTGAGTGGCTTGGTCTCTATTTGGGGTTGGACTTTCTCCAGTTATGTTTCTAATCTTTTGACTAAGTAGATAAGGCAGACTTGGAATCTGAGAACGTCTGTACAGGTAAGGCATGACAAGCAATTTACTAAGTTCCGATATAAATTGTCTTCTGGTAATAATATTGTTTGTGTTCTCTCGATAGATTATTTGGCTGTTGATGGTTGATATATTCAGAAGCCCACAGAATACGGTATATGGCCATCTATTACTGAATCGTGCTGTTGAATATTCAGATTTCATTTTGTCGACCACATCTACGCCTCCTTTCGTAAGATTATAGTCTGTAATAACTTCGGGCTTGAAAGCTTCTCCAGTGTCCTCGTCGATCTTACCATCATCATGCAGGGTTGATAATAACAGCACGTTTTTGTTTCGCTTTGGTACATATGAAACAAGAAGGCACTTATTGGGGTTTTCATCCGAGTCTTCACCATATGCAAACAGGCTGCTCCTTACTGGTCTATTTTTCACATCTAGAAGTTCTCGAGGAATTTGAGGCTTATTTTTGCGCATTGTTCCTATTGTAGTTAGTCGATGGTTTACTAATAAGCTATTAGCCAATGGCACTGAGGTGAAATAATTGTCAGTGGTTACATTTCTTCCTGTACCACTAATTGGCTCTATAAGTCGCAATACAACACTCGCTGCGTCATTTTTTAGTTGAAATGGTCCCTCTGGTTGTTTACCCGCGTAGATTTCAAAATTTGATGTAAAAAATGTTCTGGCGTCTACTAATCCATAGATCTTTATGCCGTATTTGGCGGGCTTGTTGGCTATGTATTGTCTAAATCGGCATCTGCCCCGAAATGCCTCCAACATTTCGTCAATTGTTACGTAAAATCCCGGAGAATAAGCTTGTTTACAATTTGTTACGAATGTTTCAAAAAATTGGCGAATCGGAGTTAGATTATCAATTTTAGAAGTTTCATGTCGTTTGGTGGCATCATCAAATCTAATAGATTGAATCAACTGATGAAACCTTTTTTTGGACATAGTAGCGATAAAGAAGTCAGGTGCTGTACCATCGGTTTTCCACATTTCTTCAGTGTTGAGGTGTTGGGCTTTCTTTACGCCAGCCATATAAAGGATTCCAGTAAATGCTAGCATTTCGTCATAGTCAGTTGGAGGACAGTCTCGGGGGCGCTGATAAGATTCTCTCATCAAATCTAACTTCAGATTTGTATATTTTACAATATCATTTATCATCGTATCAGTAACAAACAACTTTGCATTTTTTGCATAACTTTTTACTCCAGGCAGATTTGTAACAAGATTATGGGCTTTTGTCTTGCCTTTGGGTGCAGGTGGTTTTTGTTTGAACCAAGGTGTTTTATCTTTTCCGTAAAATTTAGGTATACGATCAGTCAAGATCTCTGGAGATTCAGGAAATATCCCAACTGTTTCATCTCCAGACTGTTCTGTATCTGTGTTATACTCATTATGCTCTGAAGGCTGATCGCTCAGATCATTATCGGAACCAACCAACTCTTCGTCAGTCTGAATCTCTTCATACCATTGCATCCACTGCTTTTGAATTTTTTCATCCATGGCTATACTGAAAAAAGATATTTGATAAGTTGAAAATAATTAATAAAACAATAAAACTTACCGAGCCACTAGTTATACCAAATTTACTAAGGATAGTTTATCCAGAAATCCGAAAATATTACATACGCCGTCACTCGCGTCGTTAGATTTTATCTAACCCGCGGCCGAACGCCATCACTCGCGTGCTAGACTGGAACTAACATATGCAATTGCGGCACTAGAACAAAATAGCTCCCCCCCCACGACCACAGATTCACATAGTAGATTAGTTTGAAGGAGTATTCCTAGATGGTGGGCCTGCTAAGCCGCGTAATTTCAAATTTAGGAGAAAAATTTAAAAAATGTTAGATTTTTTCTAACGGTGCGAGCGATGGAGGGTTAAAACACAAAACGATGAATTGTCATATCTGCTGCGTTTTGACATTTATGCCACTGAACCTAGAATATTCAAATCCGTTTTGTTACGGAGATCGGGGAGCTGATGCTTGTGCTATTGGTTATCTTTCCTCCTCATATTGCTGCTTCTGTAAATATTTCCTTGAATGCCTGTGAAACATGTAAAAACCAGCACTATCAGTCACTAGAATGGTAGAGGAAAGTTGCCAAATACCGCATAGGTTCCTAATATCGGACATCGCTATATCTCTTTTCTCAGGCAGCGTCATCTATGAACTTTTGTACCAAGCAAGAGCACAATGATGCAGAACATTTTTGATAGAATTGCAGACCCCGACAATTTAGTTGAGTGCGCCATTCTGCTGATGTACATATTTGTTACGTGTGAATATTTTAACACTGCGTAATCATTGAAGTTATATTTCCAAAAAGCGAGTTCGTTCGTTTGTTTATTATATACTATCGGATCAAATATATTTCAGTCTTTTACTTAATACTAAACTCATAGGACAAAAGCATTTTTCTCCGTAAAACAATATAATGAATTTGATGAGGTTCTGTGCCGTAATATCGGACAGTTTGGGTTCCCTAATATCGCATATCCAATATTAGGTACCATTTGAAATGAAAATAAAAAAAAACTGCAGTCAAGAAGAAACCAAAGGACAATATTAAAGAAAAGGAAAACAGAAAATAGCTAAGCGATCTCTAAGCTCTTCTAGTGAAGATACCAAAGCAGTAGTGCAATTAATTGACAGTGATGAAGATGTGGATAGGAATGAGGAAGACGCTGAGTGTCTATACTGTAACAATTTTCGAATGACACAAGAGGCGAAGAATGGATAAGATGCAATCAATTTGTCCGTTGGTCTCATAAAGAATGCGCGGGGACTGACAAATTCAGCTTTTATTTGTGAAAATTGTTTGTATTCATTACCCATTTTATGAGTTTTATTGAGACTAATTACCAATTTTTCTCATTTTGTTAAGGTATTCTGCTCGTTGGTATTAATTTAATAAAACATGAAAATAAATTCCATTGGCCTTTTTTCAAACCTTTGAGTTCCGAATATCGGACATCTGGGATATTAGGAACACCTATTATCCGTTATTGGGAGCCCAATTTTAGAAGATTACTTTTTGCATTCCAATGATTATTTCCGATTTTCGAAAAAAAAAATCAGTTAGAGGTATCTGCTTTCAAATAATAAATAATAAAAGACATATTATGCAAATAAGTCCTAACATGTTAGCGTTCTAGGTAGATATTACCTATTTTTTGTTGACTAAAACAAAAAAGTATAAAATAATAGGCTACTTTCCTCCTAATTAAATCGTGGCTAATGTCTCATAGGTAGAAGTTAAAAGGAGTCTTCGTCATAAGGTGTGCCCAGAAAGAATGATAGAATTCACTAACATCGATTTGGGACAAATATTATATTTGGCATGGTTTATAGCAAGGATTTATTCTATATTAAAAAAGAAACTGTTTGATATCGTGTACAGTATCATATTTTGGATATGTTTTTCCATATGAATTTAAACTGACCTGGAAAGGACGCCATACATACTTAGTTCATTCCAGGCAAATCGCTCTACCAGCTCTACCAGCTGGTAAACGTCAACAGTGCTATTACAATGAAGCCCCCATGCACTTAGGCAACATTGTATAAAGTTTCAGCCTATAACGTTTGATATGGTATAAATAGCTATTTATTATATAATCCATGGACTGGTAAGACTATACTTTAGCGCATATGGCAGATATTTCATTTCTTACTTCAAAATGAAAGATTAGGATCAAAATTTTACAAAAATATCATTTTTTCTTAGTGATAGTGATGGTGGTGTAGTGATGAGAGTATTTACCTGAAATAACAGAAACTACTACTTAACAGTGTCACAGTAATATACAGTGTATGTTATTTTCATATAATTTTAAGCATTCTTTTGTGTAAACAAGAAAAAAACAGCTGATAAAGCAGTATTCCATACCACAGTATTACCACCCAAAATGCAACTTTGAAGTTCTATAAAATAGTAAGCATCGGATTCCTTAAAGAAAAAAATTATATTTTCGTACAAGTTATATCCTAACCTTTCATTTCAAAATATGAAATGAAATATTTGCGATATGAGCTAGAGTATAGTTCAGCCGTCCAATTTTTCTGGTATAATTGGAAGATTCTTTAAAATATAAACACTATCGCAGTATACGTCAACGGCTTAACGAATAGAAACACAGAGCATCTCTTCGAATGTCATGGAATAGCAAACAATTGTTTCACGAATCTCCACAACACATTTTGGATGAAGCTTTTAAAAACAAAACATATAGTGAGGGGATAGAGCTTTGTTTAAATCCTCGCGGCACCTTTACAGCTAAAATGACAACAGGTAGACACAAAATAAAATCACTTAGGCTTCAGCTACCTCGGTAACCTTTTCAAAGTTTAAAGTTTAAAAATATTGCTTAAAGTTTCAACACAAGTCAACTTTGCCTCTACATATGAGACTGGTGGAGGACGACAAGGCCTTATGCACTTTTTATCCTGACAATTGCCCAGGAAATGAGTCTTCTATCAGCATTCAAGAATACAGTTCCACGAAAGGTAATTAGTCATGTTCACTTTATATCAGTTACTCTCTTATCCCATGCCATCATTTTCGAGAATTGACCCCCTGACAACACGCAGATGAACTAGTGGGAACGTCATAAGGAAAGTTCCAAAAATAGAAAGTCAGTTGTGTTCATAATGTATCACGTTGGAGTCTTCAAACCAGAGATATGCAGCATTAAGGAAGAAAATCACAATAAAAATAGTAGATGGCTCATGATAGTTTGATTGTATGATAAACACTTGTGTTTAGCACCCATTTGGCTCATTGAAAGCTTGCAGAAAATTGGAATTTAACTTGAGCTTGATTCAATCAAAGCCTGAGTATCGTAAGCATGGACCGTAAATTCACATGTCCCCATCACTGTTTCAAGAGAACCGAAACGTGGGTCGCAAACAATAAAAAATACATGTATATAACGATGTTGTAGATAGGAAAGAGGCAAACAAAGATAAAAGACACATCTACCAGTATCCAGCTTGCGGAAAATTCAATATCGGAATAACTACCAAGGCCGAGCAATCGGGGGGTCGCTTGTACGCCCTCGGTTCAACAACACATTTTGGATTCCCCTTGCGTTTGCCTGTCACAGGAAAAATACGTGAGTCAGTGTCGCGATCGCCTACAGTCAGAAACTGTATGAGTATTGCCTTTACTTTACACTCCAATAGGCGAGGACGTATTGTAACCGTAAAAAAAACGAAAATGTGATATTAGGGTTTTTGAATGTTGCATGACATGTACTTCACAAGAGGCAGTCACACATTTCCGGCGGTCTGTCTGTCATGTGAAGTCATTTATGTCAGAAGTAAAGTCAAGTAAGATCGAAAAAATTCAAAAGCGTTCGTTATATTTATCTATAAAAAAGTTGCAATTTCTTTCATTAATCCAAAACTAATCGTAGATAATGACGTTTTATTATTTACTATCGATATATTGTAAGAATTTAGATACAGAATCGCATGCACCAGATAAATGCTTACATATGTATATAGTGCAGAGCTGCTTTCCAATAACCCTCTATAACTCGGAGTAACTCAGTAGTGCTCAGCATCAGAACCGTTAGACTACACGACGTATTCTCATGCAAAGATCCTGGGCCAGTTCGGGAGCGTATTATCCTCAAACTAAAAATGACTGGAAAGCAGTTCTGCTATGACGATGGAAATCTTGTCAGGGGTAAAAGATTGGGGGTGGAGGGTTTCAAAGGTCGACGAAGGTATATCTCAATTTTTTGATGCCATATATTTATACGCTTATAATTCTACACACTCCCAAAAAATTCCTATAGTCATGGCCTTCTAACTCGCAGCTCACCAGCATATTGTCAAATACGCTTTAGTTTATGAGAAACTAATCGATAAATAATTCTGATGTGACAACAAGTGTAAAAGTTCTGTTTTCTTGGTGTCCTGATGGTGGTGGTGTCAAATTTTCTACTTCACTAGTGTGGTTCGAGCCGCGATAATTATTGTACAATAGGTACTAGTTACGTTATCCAGTACTACATGTACAAAACTTTGAGTCAGTATCTTCATCTAACAGAGATATATTTTTTCAATTTCGAATGTGTAATTTTAACTCCCTGGGTAGGAGGTATTTTAGGACCCATGTATATGGTTCTCTGAATCACCCTGTATAATCATGACCAATTTCTAGTTAGGTTCAGTGGCACTCATATGCTGATTTCTGTTGCACTACCTTTCTCAAACTTACCACTTTGCAAATGTGTTCCCGATATTGAGGTCAACCTCACATTGAGTTCTTGTTTCTCCTGTCCACTCTGGTGAAAACATACTTGAGTTAAAGTTACATCTAACAACAGCGTATCTGTTGTAACTTTAACATCTGCGTCTTCACATCAGTTGGTTGAATAAGGTGTCCATTTTCTCCCACACCAAAGTAATGCGAATAAAAATGCAAACCTTCTGATAGTCACATGTACTTCTATTTAGAATGATAGCAACTTCTTCTCTGCGCCATCATTATAAT